TATTGCCAAAATGCCTCAATTTGCACGTTTTGTTGACAAAATAAGTTATTTTCATCAAGTACCGATTTGTTATTGCATCTCAAATTTTTGACTCTCCAATCGCAATCACTCAAAATACTATTATTCACGAACTACTGGATTAAATTTACGAAACAACCCATCGTTGGAGAGCTGAATGTCTACGCTTTAAAACAAATGTAAACCTGAACGTTTTACTCTAATATTCGTTTCGAAATTTATATTTGAAGCGAGGACTCCGTTTTTTATGATACACCCTGTATAGGCCTATTATTTTACTGTAAAAAGTCAACAAGGATACAAAGTACATGACACTTTTATCTCTACATTGCCGCAAAAAAGGCGCAATTCCGAAGCTTTGCGTTGCTCGGTTTTACAAACGGGAAGTGTAGTTTATGGAAGCTTGTCAATCACTTCGTTTGAATCAGTTATCAACCAATCAGAGCTCTGCCAAATATTGGACGCATGCACGTAAATATCATAGGGAATCCTTGCAGGCTCTCTTTCACCCAGAGAGCCTGCTCGCAGGCTAGGCAGTTAGTTCAGACAAGTTATAGCTAAGCTAATTATCACTTATTTACTGAGACCGAGGGAAACAGTGTGTTTTGTGGACCCGAGACCGTCGATGTTTCCCGAGGCGAAGCCCAGGGAAACATCGACGGTCGAGGGTCCACAAAACACACAGCTTTCCCGAGGTCTCAGTAAATAAGTGTTTTATTATATATCAATAGTCAAAGAAACAACAAATTAAAGAACAAATGAAAGTAAATACATGAAATATTTTATTGTTAAAACGTTATATTAAACATTGGCTACACTGCAGTTACTTAAAGCGAAAGTTTTAATTACGTACTAGGCATGTCCAAAGGTCGCATCTTCACGTGATGGCGCACGTAATTTTTTTGGTTATTCGCCGGTCGATAACGTATTATCTCCCTCTCGCGCTGTTGCGAGGGAGACAGCCTAATTTCGTCACTCTCCCGTGATATGCTCTCAACCAATAAAACACTAGAAAAATGCGACTTTGACTATTGATATATAATAAAATAAATTAATCACCTGTAACTGCATGTGTGTTGTTGCATGCTCCTTGTGGTTGTTTTGTGTCAGAAAATGAGGTCAAACATGAAAATAAATGTATCTATTGTTGTAACAAAGTGACGGATTTGTAATACTGTGTCACCAAACATTAACAACGAACGAATAAAATATTAAAAACATTGTACAAAATTAGATTAATTATTCACATATTTTACAAAAATATACTCTACATTCACATTGTCCGTATAGATTACAAATCAAATGAACGTCTTGTCAACACTACTTGGCCTAAATTTTATATCGCTCGACACAGTTGTCATTAACTTATACTTGACTGCAATTGACGCCATCTTGGTTTATCATCAGTTATGACTACATGCCAAAAATACATGGCAGCGACGTAATGACCAAAAGGGATGGACAATAGGAGTTTAGAAGACATAACATAGACATACCTAAAATAAGCTCGGTTCATCCGGCCTATTTTACATTTGACTTAACGATATTTGAACTGAAAAACGTATTAAATACTAATAACATTGACAACACACACGCAAGCAGTCAGCTATATTAATGATCAAGACATTGACCTGTCATCCAGTTCGTCCTGATTTCTGCATCTGCTCACGTATTCTTGCTTTTATCTTGAATCTTGTTTTTCGTCGTCAGCGTCGTCGCCCTTGATGTTATGGTCTAAATTAACAAAAATAGAAAGATGTGCAGCAATCCAAACTTGTCAACTTAGTCACGAATTCTCAGCAATGTTCTCTCTATACGGAATATAACGAGTATATTTTTATGTAACTACCTTCGGTGCCTGAGAACGTACTATCTTCCGCTTTATATTCGGTAATAACACTTGACTTGATGAACTAAAATATATTCAGAGAAATAGCTTGAGTATCAAAATGAATGACTGCATGTCAAGTTAGTTCCTAGTACGCAGCTGTTTAGAGTATATCCTCCAATAGGATGATGAGGAATTTGGCGCGCTCCATTATGTCTTGCTGCAAAAGTTGTTTTTATATTGCCGCTTAATATTGCATTATTCTGTTCATCCATTATTCCGAGATAAATCCTGGTCAAACGGAGATGACAGTTGATGATCGAGTTGGTAAGCGAGAATTTGCACAAGAGTTTTGCACTGGGTCAAACGAGAACTCGCATGGAGTTGCCCAGAGTTGACTGGGCATGACCGTGTATTGCAAAAACTTCCATCAACTCTAATCAAAATTTGAACCAGCTAAAAGTTGAGAGTACATAGGAGTTGGAGGTCAAATGCAAGCGAGAGATTCAAAACTCATCAATTCTCATCTTCGTATGACCGGGGCTTTACTCGACCGGAAGAAGTGCTTACGTCATATCATGGCATCACACCTAACACGCATGATTTTATTATATATGGCACAGACATACCTTATTTTTTCTTCTGGCCATCTGGAAGCTGCCGGAGCTGAGAGTGATCTTGACAAGACGGATGACTGACAGGCTTGGCTACTTAACGCTTGCTGTGGTGAAACCCACTATATATATATATAAAGATTGATAAAATTGGACGTTCAGAAGAGTTTGTTTCTTGATCAAAGCTGCAGGTATCCAAAGGTCAAACGTTACCATGTAACATTCATGTAACATGAAATGAATAATTAACTCGAAAAATCGTCAGTGAAAATTTCTCACCTGGTGATTTGGATCGTTGGTAGAGGATCTCAAATGAATGCCTTGTTGAGCATACGTACAGAGTAACGCTACACCTACATGAAAACATACCAATTAACGTATATCAATGCAGCATTCTTGTTTCATGATTGGGTCACCATAAAAAAAAAACACGTTAGTATGTAAAAAAAAGTAACCGAGTCACGACTTCACTTTGCAAAATAACACGAAGCTACGCCCATCTTAATTCATCACCAAGAACATTTAATTTACGCTTTTGAATGATAAATTTAACAATTCGAGATTTAGAATCACATTATTTCCCTTGCAATACTGTAAAATAATTGGCAACGCCTCTACAGTAATTGCCAGTAAATTGAAATGTATTACGCGACAAAAGCGGGTAGGTATTACTTACCCAATGCTGTTCGACGACCTTCCCTTAAATATTTCTTTGTCCATTCATCTAACAAAATATTGCGATATCTCTGCGTCGAAGGAAGGAAAGAAAAAAGTGAATCACGTAGTACAACTCGGTGAAAACAATACTATATGCATTCAAGTTGTTTCCAGACCACCTCATATTGAAAGAAACTCAGTCATAAACATGCACGTGAACTTGCCATAATGATTTTTTATCTTTGTGTACGCGCCTATAAATTGGGGCCTTCAAGTTTAGAACAACTACAGCGCATATTTTATAATCGAGTGGGAGTCTTTCAGAGGTTATTAATCCAATACTTCTTAAGAGGTATTATGTAAATCATGGTTACACTTACAGGTGCATCAAAATATTTCAAGTATTTTTGAGAGTTCTCCGACGGGAAAATCCGTTGAAAACAGCCTCGTCTACTATACTAATAAAATAAAATAAAAGAATAATTCTTAATTAATAAAAGGACATTATTAACGCAAGAAGTTCCTAATAACTTTGGTATACAGTTCTGCACAGGGTAATTTCATCAGGGTAACTATTAGGGCGAGGTAAGGGTTATAGTTAGGATTAGGTGAGGATGAAAGTCAAAATGGGTTAGGATTATAAAGATTATCAGGAATCTAGGATCCCAGAAAACTTTCAGACTTGACTTAGCTGAAAATTTTAGGGCATTGCTAAATGCTAACAGGCAGAATATTAGTGAATATTAGGGAGCTCGGCAGAAAACTTTGAACCTAATTAAAACAAAAATATTATTTCCTGCTATGATCACATTGTGGTGGTTATATGGGAATGGACCCTGGAAGAGATTTTACAAGGGAAAATGCTAGAGTGATTCTTAAAAATTATAAAGCAATTATTTACTTCATCCTCGGTCTCCATAAGAATTTTGACATCCTCAGGAGTTAAAATATCCAATATTGTTTTCTTGACACGCTGAAATATACAACAATGGAAATAATTACAGTGTAGCTAATGTTGGCGTCAACCCTGCTTATGAAGATGCTTGGAGCCCATTTCTGATTTAAAACGCCACAAGTTTGTAATTTTATAGAAAAAGAGCTCATATAGAAGACGAGTCCAATATTTGTACGTACCTCGTTACTGTTGTGATTAACATAAAATCCATGCTAAACCAAAAGAGTAAAAATTGTTTTAATCCATGCAAGGCAAATGCGTACATATATGTGCAGTCTTGTGACTAATAACGGCACATAAGTCAAAGAAACGAAGCCATTCTCATTGGCTCTAAACAAAAAGCAAAGCCACCAAATTAGAACGAGCTTCTCGACGAAGTGACTACCTTCGATTATCTAGGCGTCCAGGGAGACAATATTTCTTGGAATACAAAATCATGTGGACAAACTTAGTCAGAGAATATTTCTTAAACGTATTTATTTGAAGGCAAAGTTCAGCCTTTTGAACGATGGTTTTTAAGGCGCAGTTCAGCCCTTTTAATTGAAAAAACTATGAAAAAACTAAATAGAAAAATCGATTATACATAATTCAAGATCAGTAAACTCAATGTTCTTAACAATACAAATGTTTTAAAATGTTAAAAACATCAAGTTTGCCGATCTTGAATTATGCTTAATTGATTTTCCTAGTTAGTTTTTTCAATTAAAAGTGCTAAAATTCGCCTTAAAAACCATCACTCAAAAGGCTGAACTGTGCCCTTTAAATCAATTGTCAGTCTTTCTTCCGAAATATGTTCTACTTCGTATGTAGAAACAAACTATTCTGCCGATATACTGGACAACCGTGCAACAGTATGGCACGAGATGAGTGTGGCTCTACTTTAAGGAATCGTATCGAGAAATTACAAAACTGAGCAATGCACATAATCCTAAACGAAGTTAACGAACGAAGAACCAAATGTACACAAGAGATGAGAAGTGAACTAAATCTATTATCCTTGCATGATAGAAGGCGCTTTCATAGATTACAAACAGTTTTTAAAATTTTAAATAAGCTGGATTGTCCAGGACAGCAAGTTGATGTTTTCAATTCAGGTGTTTCGTGCGAGAACGAGATCTTCGGGACAGCACTCTTACATGTACCAAGAGTAAAGACAAGTATTAGACAATCAATGCTTAAGTATTAATATGCGGAGCGACAGACTGGAACTGGAACTTCCTTCCAAAGGATATTGGAACTCCCTTCCAAAGGATATTAGGAAAATTATTTCCAATAGTGTTCTTAAAAAAAATCACTTTTTAATTACATGTACCTCTTGAAAATTGACAATGACACTCATAATTAATTTGTAGTACTAAATCTTAATTAGATTTGTCAAATTTTATTTCTTTTAACATTTACTGTATTCTTTTCCATGGATATTATATACATATTATATGGATATTATAACTTATATACTGTTCATCCTATTTCACTCTTACAATGTGAAATAAACACGTTATGTTAATTATTATTATTATTACCTAATTCTTATTTTTGGACAGGAACGACATACAGAACATGCAGCACATATATTTCCCCAAATCTACAATTTTTGTAACTTGAAGAGCCGTGTAGAGTTTTGTTCACATAATATGCATATGCTGCATTATAAACCTTTATTAACCTAATTAATGGTTGATGTGGCTTTGACGTTGCAACCATTACACTAAGACAAATACCATACATGTAAGAGTGGAATACAAACCTTCGCTTTCTGGTCCGACGTTAAAGCCACTCTCCCTTTGTCCAATGAAGAAGCACTGCTACTAGAATTACTAAGAAAATAAATTTTTTTTTAAAAATATATTTTTATTGACTTTCCAAAAGATACATGAGCAGTTCACTTTTATCGAAATACAATACAGTGCCAAAAACATGTGGCAAGCACCTAAACAAAAAATATTTTGAACTAGAGGGCACTCGGAGGCTGCGTACACCTAGCTCCGCCAACAAATTAAGTTATGCATAAATTATACAATGGGCTAATCAGCCATTCACTTTACTCTGCCCGGCCAAGCAAGACAAACTTTTGCTAATTTCTCATTCCAATTTTCATCCAAATTTAACCAAAATTTAATCAATTTGTCCTTGGGCAAAATCCATTAGTCCCCAAAATTTTCGTATTAATATGTTGGATATTTTTTTAATTATCATGCTGGCTGACAAACAAACATAATAATATAACCTCCTGACGGACGTACAGTATAGTACAGTTTTGACAGTTGAAAACTTGTACAAGGTTGTTGTGCCCTTCAAACGAGCGAGTTTATTGTTTATTTCGCATGCACTCGACAAACTACACAAGCGACGTTTTACCTGACCAAAATGTTCGTTGCATTCTCCGGAATTCGATATCCTGAAATATTCAGAAGATCCCGAACCATTTGACCCTTGATGCTCATATCAAGTGGTGATGTTGAATGTAAACTGTGGAAGAAAATAAACAAGAGAATGATACACAACAATTAATCAAATATTAAATACTTTCCCAAAAATTCAATGGTGAGGTTAAGATACCCCGGTTCCGGTTTTTAGGTACGGGTAATATACCCGTACGCGTAAATCAGGATATAACTTGCAAGATATTCCGGGGTACGAAAACCGACCGGAGAATAGTAACTTTTGTTACTGAGGTTCAACATAGATTTGGGAAATATTTGAAGAGCAAATGCATGTGCATTGATTTATTTAGGTAAGATGTTGAAGTATTTTACTACTTAAACGCCCTGCAAATAGTAAACAGAAAACACCCGTACCCGTTTGTCTTTTACGTGTAGACCATGCTTTACCGCGGGGAAACGGGTATAGAAATTACGGGAAAATTTGATAAACAAAATGGCACCTGTACCCGTAAACCGGGGTATCTTAACCTCTCTCTACTATCAGTGCTGACGACCGACGTGGTGCACCACCGGAAAAATACAACGATCCACGTGTGGGCATTGATAAACTGCCGAACATGTCCGTACCTTGGTGAGATATTCACTTCTAAAATCCATGGTTTTAAATTCTCATCTAGCATAATGTCAAAACCAAACAACTCGTTGCAACAATAGCTATTAAACGCAAATAAAGATTTGTTTCAAATACAGTAGTTGCTACATCCATTTCTTGTTACACTTGTTTTTACTGCAGGCATAATGTCATTTTGTTTCCCACTCCAAAACGCTTTGATGAAGAATATTCTTAAATTTTAGGTACAATACCTGTTCCTGACGTTTTGCTTGATCAGTAAGTTAACTGTAGATTCGCAACTAATATGAAAAGAAAATTCTTCTTCAATGTATTCTTCATTGCATATAGCGATAACAAAAATTTATAGACAGTATAATCAATCAACAAATAACTAAAATAAACAATATACAGTAATATACCTTATTATTGTTTTGACTACAATATCTTTGATACTTTCCCAAATACGTGTTGTATTCACACCCATTCTCTTGAGGTATCCCCATAAAGCTTTCAAAGACCTTGGAAAAACATTTTAAATATCTAAAAAAGTCGTAATTAAATGCAGTACCTTTCACTAGCTCGTATTCACTAGCAATAACTTACCATTTATGTCCTTGACAAGCATCTTCATCGTTATTTGGAGTGTATACATTTTCATTCTTCTTATTAATGCTGTAATTTGTCAAGTGCATAAATCTGTTGCTTAAAGTCTTACTTGATGAAGAATACCTACAAAAAATGGTTAGACATTATAATTAGTGGATAATATTTGGAAGTACATATTAGAATGTATACGGGATGACGAGAATTAACTGTATATGGAATAATGGCCATTTTTAGATACTTTGTATTAGTACACACCGATCAACCCAAATTCTTTAGGATTCATTGATTTAATCACTAGGTTCAATCAGTCTTAGGATTCAATTATAATTCAGTCTTAGGATTCAAAGATTCAATCTCAGAATTCAATTATTAAATTTTAGGATTCAACGATTCAATCTAAGGATTCAAAGAATTCAATATTAGGATTCAAAGATTCGATCTCAGGGTTAAATTATTCAATTTTAGGATTCAAAGATTCAATCTTAGGATTCAACGACCCAATCTTAGTATTCAGTGATTCAATCTTAGGATTCAATTATTCGATCTTATAGGATTCAAAGATTCAATATTAGGGTTCAATGATTCAATCTTAGAATTCGATGATTCAATCTCAGAATTCAATTATTAAATTTTAGGATTCAACGATTCAATTTTAGGATTCAAAGATTCAATCTCAGGGTTCAATATTATTATTCAATCTTAGGATTAAAGATTCAATCTTAGGATTCAAAGATTCAATCTTAGGATTCAACGACCCAAACTTAGGATTCAGTGATTCAATCTTAGGATTCAATTATTCAATCTCATATATATAGGATTCAAAGGTTCAATCACAGGATTAAATTATTTAATCTCATAGGATTTGATGATTGATTCTTTATTTGTCACCATCATTTCAGTAATCAACTTACTTGCAGGTAGCAAACCGAGTGAGGCCGTCTTCAAATAAATAAATGCGTAGAGGATCAAATGATGAAATAAAAACATAAATGCGAAGATCAAACTTTTTGCCGTTGATGAGATAAGGCTTGGACAGATATCTAAAGTTGTTAAAAAATGTTATTAAAAGTATGCGGCTGAATCGTGTGGGAAACGCACTTATCAAATGAACAAGAGAATGTTTTAGGCATAACATGCAGTTGGTATGATTCAACTCGGTGACGAATTATACTGTGTACTATAATACATGACTGGATACTACTTTACTCGTATTTGAATGAGTGTATATGAGGTTGACATAAGTCTTGATCTACATAGCGGCATGAGAATTAAAACTGCTTTTTAATTATGTACTTACTTTTGGACGATAACAGGTCGCTTCTTAGGGATTTGCGTCCATTTATGTATCACTCTTATTCCAATCCCTCTTGCTGAAGCCGGCTACACATTGGCAAAATTAAAATCGTTCACGTTACGTATACGTTTCCAAAGCATTATATTTCTCCAGTAAAAATAGCTTATTGGCAGTTAGCTAACTACTCCACTCTGTATAACGCAATTATTTCGGAAGATGGAATTTCCTATAAAGACCCATCTACACGATACGACTATATATAGTCGTATACGATTCTTATCCTGGCTTATATGTACTCGAATAAATGCATGGAAAGATGTCACATTTCGCCATAAACTGATGAACAGGAATAGTGGCGTCAGCAGTCGTTTTCATATACTTAAAGAATTCTTTCAGATATAGTGGTGCGGTAGCATCGACCAGCCTCGCGCTGCTCAATTAAGGTAATTTAAATCACTTTCCGCTCAGGCTACACCAGATTTTATTCTCTATTACAGTCGAACCTCTATTAAGCGGCCACCCTCTGGGATCGGCTTTGTGGCCGCTTATAATAGAGGTGGCCGCTAAATAGAGGTACGCAAATAATAGACCCTGGGCGTAGTCAATGCTTTTGAGGTGTAAAGCGTTTGAGGTGTATAAAGTGGCATGTGTTAAAACATAATTTTTAAGCCTTATTTTACAAATAAAGCAAATTAGCTCGACTTTTATTTTCGGCTCTCTTGACAAGGTGTTGCGCCAAGTAAATCCTGCAGGCTGGCCGCTTAATAGAGGTAAAAATTGACATAAAACATCATTTGGGACCGCTCTTTGGGTGGCCGCGGCCGCTTAATAGAGGTGGGCGTTTAATAGAGGGATATTTTATAGTATTTGTATTACAAAAATTTCGGGACTTCGATATGTGGCCGTTTAAAAGAGGGTGGCCGCTTAATGGAGGGCCGCTTAATAGAGGTTCGACTGTATAACAATATTTAATCTTTAACATGGCACTTGTGTAAAGCAGGTTTTTATCTCTCGTTAAAAAATTCATTAATAATTCACGAGGAAAATACAAAAGAAATGAATGTTTAATCAATGTTTGTAAATCGGATAAAGATTTGTCCTCATTTACATAAACTTCAGTTTTGATTTTCTCAGCTTAGACAATGTTTATTTTTAAAATTACTTCGCCAATGAACTCATAAGATGGGTCATTTTTTAAGTACGATAAAACATTCGCATCCTATCTGTATCTGGTAAACAAACTCTCGCCTTCGCCTCGAGTTTGTATATCAGATACAGATCGGCTGCTCATGTTTTATCTAGTACTTAATATATATTTCAATATTATGTAATATTTAACAAATATAAAACATTTTCCGTGTTGATATACAGTTATATCAACACGAGTGGAATTGGGAAAACGAGAAATTGTATGGAAACACGACGCCCGAAGGGCGGAGTGTTTCCTCTAATTCGAGCCATTTCGATAGGCCTTCATCCTTAATCTTGTATTTCTTAAAGACCATAAATTAACAATGTAACGACATTAAATCTTACTGGTTTTAAAATCCACTTCTGTCTATTTCCTCCTTCTTCCCAAATTCTCTTAAAATTTCGGAGGTCATGCGGCAATACGAACGTCTGGGGAATAAAACCAAATTCCTAAAAAGGAAACACAAGATAAGGTTCGTCAACACGATTCGATTTGTCCGTGTCAATCTTGTAACAGTGTCGGATCCATCAGTCTGAAAAATCAAAATTGAACCCGCATGTTCCACTTTCTTCCAACAACATGAAAAGAAGCCGGCCGACTATCCCAAGACCTTTCACTCGTCATAAAACTGCCAAATGAAAGTTTTTAACTGATTTTGTACAGAAAGATAATATTGCTATTTTTACCTTTTTACCATGCCGTGCCTGAAGTCTTGAAAGATTTTTCCACAATTTATCCTTACGTCCAATTTGAAATGATCCTGGGAAATGATTGACCTAAATAAAACAGATTGTAATGTGGCTTGCATATTTAATTTATATACTAGATTATAGTAAAGATATCGAACAATTACTCTGACGTATAACTTCCAGATACTATTATTTAGCGACATACTGTAAGTTAAACAATTCTTACAGATATCAAACAAAACACTAAAATTAATTTACTCGTAACGACCTGCATCTATATTATAAATAATATTGTTATAGTTACACAAATTATTCGAGATTTAACAAATAAGTAATTAAAAGTTGTTTTTTAGATTTGTGTACGTCATCTAGTAATTAGTTTCATTGCATGCATTAGTTTCTTAACTGTCTTTTTTTCTTTCATTGCAACTAAAAAATTAAATAAGAAAGATAATTTTACCTTTTGACACTCTCGTACCGTCTTAAATGCTGTTGCTTTCATATGCTTTCCCCAATATCCAAGCCAGTCGTTTTCTGTAACGGTAAACACATGCATGAGTTGAGGTAGTAAATGCTAAATAAACACACAGTATATTATGTTACATATAACGTAATCAACTTACTCTTCGTGGGTCGAAAACCAGATCGTGCAATACATAATTTCACGACATTTGGAGTAATCGAGCTCATTTTCCATCTCAGCAGTTTCTTGATTTTGGAGGGAAACGAATGTACTACAAGAGAAAGTGAAAATCAGTTTAACGTCAGCGCTGGTTACCTAGCATGTTTTTACCATGCAGGGCGCTACAGGGCGGTGAAACGGCAATAGGCGCTGATCGATGTATGATGCAATGAACTGGTAACGAGCACTGGGGAAAAAATGTGAAATCCATGCTGTGAAATTTGCTATTGCACCACTAAATCCATAGTATATCCATACTTACAATTATTATGGATAATCAAAATCGATTCTATTTCCAGTAAAGGTCCATACAATTTCCATTCTATGGCCTATGAATTTTCAACATTTTTACCAGTGGAGCGTCCTGTTGTTACTATGGCGACGTTGTCTTATGGCAAGATAAATATGGCGGGAAAACTGAGCTGGAAGTTTTTGACTGTTTTGTAGTCAAATTTTGATGAAGACATAGATATTGGGGGTAAAATTTCGTGTTTTCAGGTATTTTAGAGTCTTCGCTCTAAACGTTTGCGAAAGCTTGTACGAATGGTTGCTTTCGGAAGAAGTGAAAGGTTTTTAAAATACTTCGAATGTACACGTATCGTTCACGTTCGATAGAATACAACTACAGTAGTTCACAATGAATTTTAGCAACTATACTGTAGTTGATCTTTTCAATGGAAAATCATGAAACGCTCAACTTGAATTTGTATTTTCTTAACGAATCCTTACGAGAAGTCGTCTTAACCAGCTGGGCAAAAAATGTCAAAGTTGGGACGAAACTTTTTCGACTATTGCATTTGCACTCAGCTGTTCCTGGTCAGGTATAATAAATGTATACACACGCGACGTTTTTGTCAATATGGAAGTCAGCTGAGGGGGGCACTGGTAATCATCAACACATTAATGACAAAACATAAGATTTTTAAAGTTTTATCACTTTATGCTTCCTTACAAGAGTGCTAGCTATGGGGTAGGCGTAAAACGCGGAAAAAAGGGTAAAACGCGGACAAGAGGGTAAAACGCGGAAAAAAGGGTAAAACGCGGAAAAAAGGGTAAAACGCGGTAAACAAACTTTGATTTTGTTAACAAAATCAAATTTAATCTAATTAAATACCATAATAAAACGAAGTAAATGCTCATTACTGTACTTGAGTTCTATTTTTGAGAATTCGGCATGTAACAAAGTAAACTTTCTTTGGAGTACTTTTACTTGGAACGAAGTCGTTTAAAGAAGTAACGTTTTACTCAGTTCGTTATTTTCATTATGTTGCGAAGTATTTTGTTACTTTCTAATTTTATTTAATTTTACGTGATGTATTCAGGATTTATTTTAATTTTGGGATAGGTAATAGGACCTCTACATGCGTCTGGATGGATTTCTTATATCTTCAACGGGATCTGGAGAGTGGAACATGCCGTGAAATATTGTATATTAGGTGCACGCATATAATGCGTGTGTTGTTTTGTATGTCAATTCATTGGAGAAGCCCCCCCCCCCCTATTTCAGTCCACGAATGGTGACAACACCCGATTCAGTTAGAGCACATTTAACTCCTGTGCATAAACATTTTCTAACAGAGTTTGGTATAATAATTTAATTGTACATAATCACAGCACCAGTTGACTGTTTGGACTTGGACCTTGTTGTTTTGTTTATTGAGATATAAGTTTGTTTATTGGGACATTATTCTATGTATAAGATGTCTAAATTTTACCATTTTTATAAGCAGATAAATACAAAGTCAAAACATTTACAATTGCACTGAGGTATGGATGGGTATAAAACTTACTAATGGACTTTATATTTCAGAATATAGCTTTTATAGAATACATTTTTCCGGAAAATGTTAGCGTTAAATTTTTCCGGAACATGTTACATAATGGATAATTACATAATGGGCGGGGAGGGAAGGGGTTTACATACACTAGTTTTACATAATGGGGGCTTAAATGTAGTTATTCATACCATTTTTTACTTCAATTTTGCAGAAAAGTCCTTAATATTTACCACGTTCCGCAATTCCAGGGCCCCTTCTCCGCACGTTAATTGTGCTCCCTTTTTTACTATTATTTAATTGGGGTGTTAGCCCCCCCCCCCTCCCCATACACCCCAGTAGTTATGTAGGTTAATTGAGGTTAATATTTGAGTTATCAGGGTTGTTAATAGTATCAGAATATCGTAAATGTATGTTGCTTTTTTATGACATAACACACGCCCTTCGTGGAAATCATAGTTGAAGGGACTAGTGTGTATAATTTTTAAATAAATATAGTTTTACCAAGCTACATACCTACCTCGTAAAGAAAAAACTATTCTAAAACTTTTTTCCGCGTTTTACCCTCTTTTCCGCGTTTTACCCTCTTTTCCGCGTTTTACCCTCTTTTCCGCGTTTTACCCTCTTTTCCGCGTTTTACCCTCTATTCCGTTTCCGCTTTTCCGGTTCCGCCAGTCCGTTCCGTTTCCGCGTTTTACCCCTACCCGGCAAATGTTTGTACATTAGTTAAACTGCAAGATTAATTCAGCGACGTGTTAACTACGGTCGTATTGATAAACTTTAACAATATAAACTAAACGCTGAATAAACAAAACGCATAAATAAAAGTTCCATCAGTTAAGATTACGCAAGCAAAATCCAAAATTTCCTTCAGTGGTGCAAGTTTATTTAATTCTTTACCTTCCGAATTAAAAGATATTGAAAATCACTCAATTTATTCCTATAAAAAGAAGCTCAAACCTACTTTATTCAATTGAATTATGAAGTAGAACACGTTAATAAATCCGCTGCATCGATTGTAAGCATATTACTCATTGTCAATGTTACTCTCAATAGGATTTTCTTTTTATATATTACTATTAGATATCGAGGGCCATTGGGAAGAATACTATATTAAGTAATCAATGTAATCATTAAATAAAGTTTTATTATTATTATTATTATTATTATTATTATTATTAAATTGTAATTAAGCATGCGAGGTTTTTATCAACATGAACGACACGCGTACAAATCCAGGGGCCAGTTGTATCAAAGGCGTTTAGCTTAAACGGTGGATAAGCAAACATTTAAAAACATTCCTATTCATCTTGTAAATAACTAAACTTAAATTTTCTCAACAAAATGTGTAGTTTTAAGCATAGTTGTTATGTTTAGACAGAAAAGTTATGTTTGCTTGTAGTCTATAGTTCATAGATTTGATTGATAATTTTGACTTACCGTATTTACTCATTTGAGCGCCGCCCCCGATTGAGCGCCGCCTCCAAATGAGCGCCGCATTTGAGATCAAATTTTTTTTAAAGAACGCCGCCCCCGAAAGAGCGCCGTATTAATTATTTTCCTGCGATTGCCTCTTTCAAAGCAACGAATTTACGTCTTCTGATATCGGGGCGACATATCCAACAATGGTTACGATGCAGCAGTTGGACTCGGATCATGAAGAGGACAGTGACATTGATATTTTGTAAACTTGTAAGCAGTGTAAAAACTTTCCGCCGTCAAAATGGGGATATTTTGTGACAAAAACATTTAAAACTTGTTTATTTTATTGTTAAAAGTTCTTGTCATAATTCACAAACAAAATATTTTTTAAAGAGCGCCGCCCGCGATTGAGCGCCGCCCCCAAATGAGCGCCGCATCTGAAGCTCTGAAAATTAAAGAGCGCCGCGGCGCTCAAACGAGTAAATACGGTATCCACCGTTTCAGCTAAACGCCTTTGATACAACCGGCCCTTGGATTTGTACGCGTGTCGTTCATGTTGATAAAAACCTCGCATGCTTAATTACAATTTACAATTGTTTGTCCGACGTTCAGCGTTTAGTTTATATTGTTAAAGTTTATTAATACGACCATAGTTAACACGTCGCTGAATTAATCTTGCAGTTTAATGTACAAACATTTGCCTACACGCATATTTATAGTTGTCGAAAACGAACTATAAATCAACAGAAAAACAATCTTATGTACCGATGTCACGATGTTCTCGTGATTCAGTGAAAACATCAATCTTGCTTCTTTCACAAAAGAATTCTCTTCGTTCGCTGATTCTCCCGAAAACTTTTTAATAACAACAACCTCACTATTGTATTTACCCTTACATACCATTCCGTACGCTCCATGGCCAATCTGTTCCCTTTATGACTCTATATTTTCATAATTGAATGATGGTAAATCTTTGGCGATTTCCCCACGATTTCCCTAAGTAAAACCGCTTGTTTGCCTTTTGATACCGTTAAGAATATGTTTATTCCATTTCAAATCGCTGCTAATAGTCAGACCAAGAATCCTAGCGTCATGGGTGACAACTTCAACTTGGTTACCGCAGACTATACGGCACTCTCTTGTAGCGAAGCGTGATCAGATCTTGTAAAACAAAACCTTAGTTCTTTACCGTGTCAGTGTTTGCTTAGTGAAACCAAGTGCATAAAATTTACATGAACTAATCACTTTAGAGTTGGCGAACATCCCACAAGCACAACGTACAGCACATACTGCAGTATAAATAACAAAGCTTTCTTATTTTTCGTCATATGGCTAAGCTGAGGAACTGTCATATAATGACTTCCTCCTCAGGAAATGATGTTTAATTGCATGAGCTTGAAAGGACGTAAGAGTAGTTAAAATACTGCATTAGATCTTTGTATCTGCGCGGAGCGCTAGATACTATGCTATCGAGTTTGTGTGTCAGTGGGTGCGTTAAACACTCAGGTCGACTAATTAGGGCTGTATGTCTGGGAAAGGCCGTAAAACAAAGATGGTGACTTTCTACAGAGTGACGATTGTTTTATCCTAGAAGATTTATTTATTTCGCCCAATCATTATGGTAATTATTTACATAAAAGTATAAAGCTACAACTATAAATAGGGCTAGGAGTCTAAAGAAACCTTCATAGGCTTTTAAGGTAAGGCCCTAGTTTAATGTGCAGTGCAAAGTTTTATATTGTGTCAATCAGTGCTAAAAGTATGTACAAGAATATGAAGATTAATACATTAATATTGCCTTCACTAGTAAGAATAAAGTACATAATAAGGAGTTGGAGAGCTATAAAGAAATAATCTGTTAATTACATGAATATGAATTCGACTTCTTTGTTTAAAATATAAGTTCACTAGATTGTATTGACTACTGTTCATAAAATGTATTTTCGATTTTTTTTTAAAGATTGGTAGTGATGTTATTTTTGTTATTTTTAACTTATGGCTTAATTGTATGGGGGCTGCATCAAAAAGGTATGTCAATAAGATACTTATTTTACAAAAACGGGCATTACGATTAATTTATTTCAAAAAATACAAAGAACATGCTATTCCACTTTTTATTAATTGAATCAAAAATACTTCCTATAAATATGCTTTATATCAAAACTGTTTGCAATTTAATGCATGATGTTTCTAACGAGTCTTGTCCATCTTCAATTTCTGATTGCTTCATTCACTCAAAACAAATTCACAACCATAACACTAGGCATTGCGTATCTAAGAATTATTATATTGAATATGCAAGACTTATACAAAAACAAATTCATCATTCGCAAGAGTTGGAGCAAAAGTATGGAATAATATTTCCACTGATGTGCGTGAATTGGGAAGAACGAATTTCAATAAAACAATAAAGAAAACCCTTTTAACAATACTTGAGCTTGAGGATGATTATGTTAATGTACCCACAATAGTTCAACAAATGGTCAAGCATTGAAAATAATTCTAAGATTCCCATGATATAGTTGTTATAGTATAGATCTCAAGAAATTATTAAGTGGTTGTTATATATGGAAATATTAGATATTTAGTATATAATCCATGCCAAAAGTATACTTCTATTATTAAGATCAGTTATTATTCATGTAACACCTTACATTGTTACATTAATAATAAATATAATGAGCATATAATTTTGATATTGTAACTACACGCCTCGATTAGCTTTGCTATTTTGCGTGTAATACTGTATTTTATTTGTTATGTTTAAATTTAATAAAATTGTGAAAATTGTGAAAACAAATTGTGTCAAGCTAACATCAAGATTATTCCGAACATCCACTCCTTTCTCTGTGAGTGAGTGCTTAGTATAATTAGTTCGATGGTAATGCAAATGAAGTTTTGACGATCAGTTTCGGGTTCTGTATTACTATTGGTAAATTTGGCTATTCGCTATAAAAAATCCGTAAATAAATGTGGCAAGTTTTGCAAATGATGGTATCGGAACATGAAAAAGCTTATCATTGCCCGAAGTAACATCGTAAAGCTTTTTTGTGAGTAACCATGCATTCTTTTTTTAATAATATCGATTGTCTATTCATAATTAATATTTACTGTATGGGATGTCAAAATTGTGTTTATATATGGTACATTTTATATATATTCATAGCATTCAGAATTATTATGCATGTTACGTTAGAATTTTGTTATATATATGGCGCATTAATAGACCTTAATAGTCACAGGACATCTTAGGATTATAGGATTGCTTCATAAGCTGAGTTAAAGTTAATAAAATTTCTTTACAAATTCTGTCTATTTTTTTTCATTTAGCATACATTAAATGTCGGTATAGTACAGTGGTGGACACTTTGTGAAATATTGAGAGGGGCTTCTGGGCATGCTCCCCTGGAAACTTTTTAAAATTTGGACCCCGAAAATGGTATTTGCAGCATTCTGAGAACACATTTTGTAAAAAACTGGGTTTTCAAAACACTGTTTTAATTAATGGTATTAAATTACAATGTTTTAATTAATGGTATTATTATATGAGTGTGATTTGTGTGATTTGGTACAAGATTTTTACAGTCTATCTAAATTATAGGCTAACGGGGCCTCATAGTGTCCGCCACCGGTACAGTATTTACCTCAGCAATTTTGTACCCATTTTATATATAACTCTTATTCTGTTTTTATTATAAACATCAATTCTGGCTTTCTGACAGCTGATTGCAGTAGAGAAGAGACAGCAATCTGAATATTCTTTGTCATATCATCAAATATAAACAAAGTGACTATACAGCCGACATGCAGCTGGGTATTTAGTAAACTACTGGTTTTATACTGACTATAGTTAAATATAAAAAACTTTTGTTTCACCGAACGTGCCGTTAGAGTATATGGTATAGGCACTGTTTGCGGAAAGTGAAACGCAGTCTGGGTCGGGTTGTGTTTTGTTTGACTTAGCATTTATTTTTCTTAGTCACTACATAGCTGGCAGCTTACTAAATGGCTGGCTGGCGGCTGTATAGTCACTTCGAAATTTAAATGTTTACTCAATAATTGTGAATGAAATTTTTTTCATAGCAATCATGGAATTCCTTTGCGCAGATACATGTACGCCTAGTGTAGCTATTGTTATGATTTATTGGATGTGTCTTACTATATCGCAAATTAGTTTAGCCTACAGCTTGTCTATTTTCCCAAAGATTTTTCTATAGTAAGTAATTGATAGCATGGATAATAAAATAAATGGATAGGAAACTAGCTGACGTGACCTAATGTTTTCAATGGGCTGATGGCGTGATTGGATGTTGAAACCTAGTTGCAAACCAAATTCTCAAAAACGGCATGTTTAGCAATAATACAGCTAAACATTTTAGTCAAAGAGCAAATGAATATAACTACGCCATTCTAAGATGAAATCTCTAAGTATCCCCAGTCAATTTTAGCAAATATATCAAGCACTAAACAGTGAAAAAGGCATCCCAAAATTCGTTAAAATTGGGGACGCTAATTTCGTAGCTACAAATGTAAAAAAATACAAAACAAAGACGAAAAACATTTTCCTTGAATACTTTGTCGTGGCTTAGGCATGTTTTTCAAACAATTAGACCAGTTTATGCTTCAATATAGCACTTTTAAGGCGGAAAATATAGCGAAACAACAAAAATGCAGAGAACTTTGCAATACGTGTGACGTCACAGATTGCAACTAGGTTGTTTTAGCTTACGTCAGCGAGAGTCCTATCCATTTATTTTATTATCCATGATGATAGTAAAAATATTAAATTCGTTGGAAAAGCTTCTTTATTCTTGCCCAGTCCCCGCGCAGCCACCTTGTAGAATTTCTACGTTTGGAGGGGGGAGGGGGGCGAGGGCAAAAAACGTTCGGTTAATTGATTCAAATATGTCAATTTCATGTCAAGTTGATCGCTAGAGTTTGGCAAAATCAAATTTTGGACAGCTAACCCCCACACAGCTCCATCTCAGACAATCGCGTGCAAAAATAATGAGACCTTTCACATTTTCGGCCATTTTAAAGTACGTCGGCCTCCCCCTGCCCCCATGATCAATGTTGGAGTCTTTTCAGTCATTCACACAACATTGAATTGGAGGTGAGGGGGGCATTTATGTAGTTGTCTCAATAATTTTTGCTCCTCATTGTAGCCTATGCCATAGGTCATACTCCGATTTCTCGTGGGGTCTATATGAATAATGTGATACATTTGCTTCAAATTTGCCTGGATTTTTTTGGTTTTTTCAAAAAAGGAATTTGGGAGATTGTGAATGGACTTTTGAACGAGCGGTTCCGGAAGCACTGGGTGCCCTACAACGTCCGGCGTTTCCGTCCCATTTCTCCTCTCGGCCGCCTTTTGGTCCATGCGTTAGAATTAAAACTGCGCTTTAAAACCTTCAAAATAAAATATTTTGGGCCCAAAATATTAGAGACCTTACGATTTTAGGACGGCAACGCGATGGCAACGGCTACCAAAACAATTTGTTTTGACCGTCGAGTTGCCGTCCTAAAATCGTAAGTTCTCTACTATCAAAACGAGGAGAAAAGTGAGACGAATCTGCTGGCATACGGCCGAAAATGAGAAAACCGACAATTCCGAAATTATCAAGGATCAAACGGACTGCATTTTTAATTAGTTTAATAATTTTGAGCGATTTGTTAACAATACAGGAGGGGGTGAATAGGGGTATACAAATCCGCCGATCCGCCCAAATTTGAAGCAAAATTCGCGATCCGACAATGGTCTTGTCTAAATTTGAATCCGCTAAAAGCTCTACTATGAAGTCACAATCCGGGATCCGAACTAAATTGCACGCTAGATCAACAATCCGAGCCAAAATATTAGATAAATCCGCAATCCGCTGTATTAATAAGATCCGAAAATCCGTGTAAAATATTCGCCAGATCCGAAATCCGACCATTTTTTTCTGTGAAATCCGGCGATCCGAAAACCTATCCCCCCTCCAATGAAATGGGCTTGATTACCGTATAATATAAACTTTATTTCATAAAATACTTTGACGAAAACATCACATAAAAGTACAAAACTACAATCTATCGATGTTCTCTCGACCTCGTGTTCTTTTCTTACCCAATGTTCTTTGCGGGCTTGCTACATTCCTACTACAGTCCGCCCTTTCTCGAGGGTTTACACACTAAACACTAAACTACTTTACAATACTACTTTAGTTAACTGACTCTACGCTATGTTAGTTACTCTAGTACTGATATTTCTGTAACAAATGCTTCTAATAAACAAAATTACAACCACAATCAACAATGTTTAAACTTGTGAAAAAATGTTCATATCAAGTTTTATGCAGTACGTTCCGCCAGTTGCTCCCCCTTCTAGAGAGAGATACGGACATTTTGTAACAATACCACGAAGTTGACCGAGTCTTGCGATGATTTCTCTTGCTTCCGGTAGTTGTTTGTAAATAGCTTTACAGGCTTCGGAAGAATAAGCTTTATGGTTTGGTTGGTCCTTTAGATAATTGGCAATAGCATGTGCGACTTTAACGATGTCAGGGTTGAGATGCGTCTGTCGTGGTTGTAGAATATCGTCTTCGGAAATGCTACTTGATTGACCATTTTGTTCCTCAGGCTCACGAATATCTTCATGTTCATCAGGGATGTTTATATACAGGTAAGTCATCACCAGTATTGATATTGTGTTTGAAACCTTTAATTTCATTGAGCAGTTGTCCTGGTATAAGAAATGCCGACTGGTACTTAGTGACAACGTCTTTGAAGGCATCTAAAATTTCTGGGCTAACATGAGAGTATTTGTCAGTATCAAGATCTAGAAGGTGAAACAGTTCCTGAGGTGATACTGGTGTGATATTATCTTCAGGAAATGGATAATGGTGCTTTGTGTTAAATTCAGTGCTATCTTCTGTAAATGACTGCAGTGGAGATGAATCTAGGCCTACATTTTGGAGTTCTGCATTTTGTTCTGAAAGTTTCCATGTTTGTCTGGGATATGAGCCTTGCTGAATTAAACTGTGTGAAGGTTGGGGTTGATCTGAGTTCATTTGTGCCCAAGTTAACCATGCATCGGACAACTGACATGCAGTGGTTGAGGCAGCATCTGTAAAACTTGCCTTGTCGGCGGCAGTTGAAGGCCGAAGCTGGGCCAAGATAACAATGTCATTAATGATCATCATTTTGTGCCGACAATCAATTGATAACATTGTTGAGTAACCAGTTTGGGGAATGGGATCAAGTTCTTTTGTTCCCGAATTAATGTAGGCTGTGATATCATCTATTGGAACAGGACTGGTCATATCAATGTCAGTCATAGAAGCATAACAAGTGGTTTGACTAGAAGTACTGGGTTGTTGCATTTGTTTTTGACAATTAAATGGGCCACCCAGAACTGTTAAACCAGGCTGAACTGTTTTTCCTTCAAGCCACAAATCTGGAGAAAGGACACTAAGTGCAGTGGAGAGTGTAAAATACACAGGAACAAAATTCATACCTCTGTGAAGCATTAAGTGATTGGATTTGTGAGTACCTACAGAGGGGCCTCCAGTTAAAAGGCATGTAACTCCTGCATGTGGTCGTGGAGTTGAATTCTGAAATGCTTGTTGGGGGTTTTCCAGGGAACATTTGATCATGAATTGCATGCTGGGTTGTCGGAATTCGATGCTGGGGACTGCATGATCAACTAGAGCTTTAGTGGAATGAAGGTGGCTTTCCCCAAATAGGATAGGCCAAGATAGTTGTGGGACTACATGCATTGTAAAAATGGATTCTTTCCCCCCATCCCATACGATAGGTATTTGCATGGTGGCAATGGTAGATAATTTGGATCTGGCATGTGCTTGACTAACCAGGGACACTGAACAACAGCTGTCAATTGGTAATGGTAATTTAACTCCCGCAGAAGAGACTGGGGCACACAGAATATGTCGACTTTGCAACACACCCTGTGGATTGGTAACTGCTGATAAGCCAAATATTTGTGGATCAGACCTGGATGAGCTATTGGGTTGGGTGTTGCAAGGTTTAGTAGCGCCTGCAGTGGCATGTGGCTGTGCAGGATAAACAGGATCATGGGAGTCACAAAAATTTGAGGAGGGATGTACTGAGTTAGGTGGGTTAAACCGCAGGTTAGGCTGATGGCGAAGTGCTTTGCACCCCCACTTGTTGCATTCGAGACATTTGTGCAGTCGACCAGCTGAACATTTATTGTTTGACTGTTCGCAATGAGATGTAAGAAAACGGTTATAGTTCCTACAGATTTCCAGTTTTGGAGGGGGAAGTTGTGGGCGTTGCTGGACAGGTTTATTCAAGGGACAACTTCGTTGAAGATGGGAAGGGTCACCACACTGATAGCATGCTTTAACAGGGTTTTTTCTGGAACATTCCGAATTCCCCCCTTAGTGGGCTGGGTAGAAAGTGCCCGAAGGGGTTTCCAATCACTCAGTGAACTTGATAAATTGATGTCTGTATCAGACTCTTTTACTTCATGCATCTTCAAAGACTGTTCGATACGACGGGCAGCCTCGATAGTTTTGTCTAACTGTTTGAATTCTTCGGCTTTGACAATAAGGTGTTGGGAAATTTGGGGATGTACACGAGATATGAACTGAGCAATACTGTAAGTTGGACAATGTTTAGTTAATGATTCACCGAGTTTGTCGAGTTGATGAAGAACATTTTTAAAACGAAAGGCAAACTGTTCGATTGTTTCCGTTGGTTCTTGTTTCATAACACTAAGTTCGCTTGCTAGTCGACGACAGTTGTCCTGTTCTGGTTCCTCAAATTCCTCTCGTAACCGTCTTGTACAGAGACCATATTGCTCAGCGGCTGATTTTTCAGAAAATCCCTCGCTACAACGACAAATAGACAGAACTGAACGCATCCATTCGCCTACGCATTGCTGTTCGAGAAATGTTAATCGCAAGGCTAGTTATGCGGTAAATGATTTGTTTGCTCGTCAAATCTTTCGAAAAAATCGTTGACATCATCCTGAACTAACTTGTCTCGCCTGAACTTTGGTAGTTGTAACGTCGGTAACTTGAGATTCGGTGCAGCTTGAATGTCATTTCCTGAAATTCCTGCGTTTGTAAGTTGACCCACTTGCGTTGATATTTCTGCGACATTTGTTGTGAGCCCTTTTACAACACTTGAAAGACCTGCTATTAGCCCTGTTAGTTCTTCGATCGTTGCCATTTTTGTCTCAAAAGTTGGTTTGCATCCTCCACCATCTGTAATGGGCTTGATTACCGTATAATATAAACTTTATTTCATAAAATACTTTGACGAAAACATCACATAAAAGTACAAAACTACAATCTATCGATGTTCTCTCGACCTCGTGTTCTTTTCTTACCCAATGTTCTTTGCGCGCTCGCTACATTCCTACTACACGAATACAATTTCGCTTATTAAAACTGCACATTGAAACCTTCAAAATATAATATTTTGGGCTCAAACTACTAACAAAATAAAGAGAAAAGTGTGACGAATCTACTGGTATGCGGCCGAAAAAGAGAAAACTAACAATACGAAAGTTATCAAGGTCAAATGTATTGCATTTTTAATTAGTTTAATAATTTTGAGCGATTGTGAACAATACAATTTCGCTTGTCTTTCAAAGGCCATAAATCGCTAGAATACTGTTGTTTAATAATATATTTGACATCTGTAAGGATAATGTCTTACGCTGAATCGAACGGTGGTATTTTTGTCCTTATTGGACGCATAATACCAGAGATAATGCGCAGCAAAAAGTCAATCGTGAGAGTCCGAGATCAATTGGAAAGAAAACTTTCCTCAAAATAAGGAATTCGGAAAACATGAAGGATTATTTTGAGTGGCTTGTCTTTCAAAGGCCATAAATCCGGAGGGGTATCCAGGGCTGTGGCCGGGGGAGCTCCCCCCTGATAAAATGTATTGTATTAAAAAGGGAATCGTTGATTACATAGCTTCCTGTTGAGATCCGTCGGAAAATTGTCAATGTTGTCGGAATCTTCGTGTCGAAGCATCGAAAATATATCGGGAAAAGTGCTACGAAAGCAATTATAATGTTATTGTCCGGAAAAATTTTTACCAAAAAAGTTGTCGACGGGGGGGAGGAATTTAAATTGTTGTGGGCCGGAAAATTTTTTGGCCCCACCTGGGTTTTTGCTGCCCCCCTGATCTAAAATCCTGGCTACGCCTCTGCATAAATCGCTAGAATAGAAATCAATTTTGAAATCAATTTTTCATCCATAAATACAACTTTTCACGCTGATGCGAACAGCGGTATTGTTGTCCTTGTTTGGCCCATAAAACCAGGGATAAAGCCTAGCAAACAGTCGATCCTGAGAGTACAAGATTAATTAATTTTCCTGCACAAATGAATAAATTTCGAGCACGTGCAAGGAATTTTTACTAGGCGATTAAGGAAATGTATTGATGCGAACAAACGAACAAACTAACAACCGGACAAACAAACGGACAAACAAACGGACAAACACACAGGCAGAATATAGTGCGGTGCCAAAAATGGCACGGGCACCGCAATACCCAAATGTGTTAAAAAATGTGATTTAACTTTCAACAAAATTTTTCTTTTTTAAATTTTTCTAAGTATACTAGAAAAATGATATGGTAGCCAGAATGACGATAACGCTAAGCATTGGAAATGTTGCGCATATATAGACCTATATTGATACTGTAATTTTAGTTTCACATTCTCGGCAGCATATTATATACCTTATTATTAGCATGACAAAATTACTGGATGCTGATTGGTTGAGAAGAGTACAATTATTTCATTAATTATACCAGGGGCGGCGGAACGGATTTCAGTTTGGGGGGGGCTAAATTTTTTTTTCCGTGACCCCCCCCCCGTCGCCAAAAAATTTTCGGTCAGTGTACTATTTTAGGGGTAGAAAACTTTTTCCGGACATATACAAGAAAAGAGATGAAAAAAATTTTTCCGGACCTATAACAAAAAATTTTTCCGGAAATAATCGATTTTTAAACAAAATATCCCAAATTTTTCCATTATACCTAAATTTTCCAAAAATAACCAACATTTTTCCTTAATTATCAAAATTTTTCCAGAGAAAACAAAATTTTCTGGGGGGCTTAGCCACCCCACTTTTACTTCTGGGGGGGCTTTAGCCCCCCTAGCCCCCCTGTTCCGCCGCCACTGAATTATACTGCAGTACAATTAATGATTTTCCCAAAACAAACAAAACGGCGAAAAGGTATTTTAAACGCAAGCGTGAAATGAAATTGCCCTAGAGCAACAGATGAAAATACGAGCAAAAGCACCAAATTTTGCTTTATTAATAACAAAAAAACTAAATGAAAATACGGACAAAAGCACCAAATTTTGGTTGAAAATCTGCATGGCAGGACTGGGCTATGGCGAAAGAATATATGAGAGAATATACAAAAATGCTTTCAAGTTTCAAAGTTCTTCAAATATTCCATGGGATGTTTGTTGCGAGCGGAGGAGAAAATGATCAAAACTTTAAAGGAACGGTTTTTTGTTTGAATAACAGTAGGCAGCATAAAAAAGTGTCAAACACTCAGGGATTTAAAATTTACATTTTAATTTTAAGAAATAATTTGCATAATGGCCATTAACTACTTGAAACTATCAAATGCATCTTATGCATGTAAATATACCCAGATTGAATACTTTAATGGACCTATTCCCTAATAAACAAATTCTTGATCTAGACAACTCTACACAAAAATTTCATCACAGCTTGAAAGAACATCACAAAATTAGTAATATTCCGAAGTTTCGTTGCGAATGTTTAAAATGACTGAAAAACGGAAAACTTCGCAGGGCTATATTATCCGCATTTTACAACATTTCGCAACGAAACTTCGGAATATTACTAATTTTGTAATGTTCTTTCAAGCTGTGATGAAATTTTTGTGTAGACTTGTCTAGATCAAAATTAGGGAATAGGTCCATTAAAGTATGCCATCTGGGTATATTTACATGCATAAGATGCATTTGATAGTTTCAAGTAGTTAATGGCCATTATGCAAATTATTTCTTAAAAATAAAATGTAAATTTTAAATCCCTGAGTGTTTGACACTTTTTTATGCTGCCTACTGTTATTCAAACAAAAAACCGTTCCTTTAAAGTTTTGATCATTTTCTCCTCCGCTCGCAATAGACATCCCATGGAATATTTGAAGAACTTTGAAACTTGAAAGCATTTTTGTCATTATATCCAAAAAAGAATAACTATGGCAAATAACTCAACTAATTATACAACTATGCCTTTCTCCACAGTTCCAAGCGAGGTTCTGCTGTTTTCAGTTGTGTTTAAATTCATCGCGATGATTATTGGAATTTTGGGAAATGTCACAGTTATAATTTATACAATTTTTTCGAGCGAAGAAAAGACATCGACATCTTACTTGGTTGGAAACTTGGCGCTGGCAGATCTTCTCGTGTGTTTAACATTTTATCCAATATGGATCATTGAGTTTATACAAACTATATTAAACATTGATAGTGATCAGGATGTGTTTTGTAAGTTAAGTCGTTCTACCATCTGGGCATTGATGTTTGCTTCAGTGGCTACACTTCTCGCCCTTACTGCTGATCGGTATTTATATATTGTAAAACCTCTCAAATATCTGCTGATTGTGACCAAAAAGCGCGTTATTCTAGGTATTGCGGGCATCTGGTTAACTGCGTTTTGTTTTTTTGTTGCATTTCTATTTTACTGGAGTAGAGATGACTCTAAATTAAGAAGTTTATGCTTCATCATATCGGACAATTTTTTTCTTCTTATGAATGTTTTTATTCTCTGTCTTCCTCTTATTCTGATCTTTCTTCTCAATTTCCAAATTTTAAATATTGCTCGGAAACAACGGCGACGAATCTTGGCCGAAACAGTGGTAACGGTTGGCACTTCCAATGAACAGTCGTCCAAAAAACTGATCGGAATCCTCCGCTTCAACTTGGGTTTGAAAGCAGCAAAGACATTTTTAATTGTTGTCGTGGTGTTAACTTTCTGTGTTTTCATTCCAGCTGCCGTTGGGGTAACGATAGAGCATTTTTACAGTAAGCCATACCGCAAAATATGGTACGTATTTTTCAACTATGAATTTCATGGCGTGAATTCGATCGTGAATGCTTTCATTTATGGAATGAGACATATCAAATACAGAAAAGCTTATGGAAATATTTTTTTAAAAATATTTCGATGCTATAAACGCACAAACTAAGGATTTTTCATCAGTTGTGGGAAAAACCGACACAAGTGGACTTTGCACTATTTGAACTCAACTGCCTTCATGCATGCAGCATCCCTCTCTTCAGCAACTCACCACCATGCAAAATTATTGCGCCATTATTTTATTGAACCAACATCCAAAGTTAATTTAATCAAGTTCGTTTTTATGCAGAAGTCAAATATAAACATTTGTTAGAAATATTTATTAGAAAAACGTCTTAGCAGTTATATCTCATGGGGATCAATTTTTAGTTTAGAACTTTATATATCCTCACTAGTATAATTTACAATAAATTTTGTTATTGACTCTGAAAATCTCCTCTGGGGAGAGTCGGATAAAGACTATATAAAGTATAACTGAATTGTATTGGGTTCTGTTGTACCGTTTTACGTTGCATATTGGGCAATTGGAAGTTATACGACTGCGTATCCAAACGACGCATTATATGCAGCTGAGACTGGAAGAACTACAATATACATATCAATTATTTTAAACTGTACAATCATCATTATATGAAATATGAATAAATTATGAATATGGAAAAAGTTGCTCAAAGAACAATTAGTTTTCAAAAATATACTCGCCTTGAATTACAAAATTATTCGGTTCCTTTAGTTTAAGCGTACATTTCTGTAGTTTGCTTTACATGCATGCACAGAAGACAGTATAATATTATACCAAACGTAGAAAGTTTATTTAAGAACCGTTTTATTGAAAAGTGAAGAGCGACTGTCCGTAAAAATCGAGCAAACAGTGGCAATAGATGAAAAATAGATTTCTCTCATATTTTGCTCAAATTTGGGTAATACCTAGTTATAAATGGTGATTGGGTTAGATTTTCAATATTTGGTCGATAAACGTACAAATATCAGAAATCAAGAATTTGTCTCTAGGAGGCTATAATTAGCCACAGACAAATCCGCTGCCATGGTCAGTTTCATCACTTCGCGACGGATTCAAAACTGCCCGCAGATAGTTTTGATGGTACAATGACTATAATTCAAGTATTAAAGAACAATTTTATCAATATGGAATGGCCCAGGAGGCTTTAG